TACATTCATCTCCATTGTACTAGTCTAAACATTGTTTTTCTTATATTTACCTGAGCCTCAAGAAGCTTATGAACAATGATTTCAGATCCTTTTCCACTATTTATAACACAAGCTAAATGCAATGGCGTATGTCCTTGCCGATTGTATTCATCAACTGAAATCTGGGGAAAAAAGAAAATAATGTACATATTAGAGATCCATTTTAAAGTAAAAATAGTTATTAAAATATAAAGCATAAGTATATAATATAGATTTAATTTTATTCTATAACAAATAAAACAGCCACTTCTCTTGAATTAAAGCATTAAATCAATGAAAAATATGACCAAAGTATTGAATCTGACGAAGATGTTCTTTTAAAGAACTAAAATAGTTATAAATGTTTAATTTCTTTTTATTATTAAAAAGAACATTGTACTGGAAAGAATTAATGAAATTTCAATGTATAATCGCTTCGATATATATTCGACTTGCGAGCGTGATTATGGAACGAATTAAGCTCGTAAGGCGAGGTATCACTGTACTATGAAATATTTTGTGAATATTTGAAAAATATATTAATTATTAAAAAGAATTTGCAATATTTACGTCAAGAAAGTGCTTTTAATCAGAGATAATGATTTATTTAAAAGACAATAGCAAACAGATCATTTGTGAAATGATATTCATAACAAAACAATTAAGATATTTGAATAAAAAATATTCTCATAAAAGAATAAGCAATTATATTTTTATTTTTCAAATCTTTCTTAGTTACTACTGATTAAGATCAAATATCTGAAATACTTAAGAGATAAAATATCCATAATCCTAAATATCTTATAAGAGTTACTTTAAACAAACATTTTATTTTTGTTTTATTTAAACAAACAAAATTTGTTCAAATTACTCGATTTATTATCAATGGAATCCTTGCAAATAATTTAGGAAAGTTGCAGATTGTAACTACAAAAGAGGCATCCATTGCTTTTTTAAGGATTTTTGGACCCCCCCCCTCCTTTGGACCTGGTGTTATTCAAAATCACCCCCCTCCCCCAGCAAACATCACGTGTATTTTTAGTCACGAGAAAAAATTGTAAAATTTTTCAATTATTTTTTGAAAATGTTTGGATTTGTTTAAAAAAAATCAGGTAAAAAATAAATACACATGATATCTTACTACAATATGTACGTAATACCAATCTTAACCCTTTCCACTCGGATGCCGCCGCTCCGGCGTCAAAATTCATGTAAATCTCGGAATTCGCGAGTGGAAATGGTTAATTGCTATTGCGTGGGTGGAGTGACTAAGGCGGACGCTGAGCACGCCATTATGGAGTGCAAAAAATTGCAAAATGGTAGGCAAGAACTATGGAAGAAGATAGTAAGGCAAAAAATCTCCCTGCCAACCAATTTTATAACATTATAGACAAAGAAAAAGATATATGGTGCGCTAAATAATTATATACAATCAAATAAAATAAATGTGTAAAGATAACTTATAAGATGTATATGACTAATGTATGTGTATACAAAGTCAACAAATAAACAAAAAAAAATCTTACTATTCCCCTCCCTCCACAACGTGATAATTCGTAATTTCTTGTCATTTTCCCCCACCCCCTAAAAACCTCACGTAATTAATGGACGCCCTCAAAATTTTTAATAAAATGTAATCAAATATACATACATTTGGAACATCCAATAAAATTTTCACAACATCAGGATGATTATTTTCGACTGCAATGTGTAATGCAGTATTGTCATTGAGCGCATCGCCATGGTTTACATCTGCATTTTTGGCCAACAGCTTTGCAACAATCTGGCAGTTTCCTCCAGCCACAGCTAGATGAAGAGCTGTTTTACCATCTGAAAAAAAAACAAATAACTAGAGGCATCGCGACTAGTTAAATTTAAAAAAAAAAAACATTGAAGTTTTTTGAAAACTTCGAAAAACTAGTGGTGGATAGCATAGTGCTTGGGCAAATTGCTGGAACTTTTCATACCAAATATTTAAAATATATGAATTTTTAAAAAAATATTCAATTTTTTTAGAACTTCGAAAAAAAGCAATTTTGGATATTTTTGAAAAATTGATTCAAAGATCGTGAGTGCCGCGCCGCAGTATAACGACGGTATAAACATTGATACGGAACCCATAGATATGTAAACAAAATTTGTTCTTATTATTAAAATATCTATAAAATATGTGATAATCTGATATGCATATGTCTGATGATAATTTTTGTCCACCAAATGACATTTTTTCACTTTTTTCATTGGATCTCCAAAACCGTTAGACGTGCCTTCAAATTTCATCAGTTCTTCATTTCGTCAATACAATGTAACATAAAGATATACATTCTTCATTCATTATTATAACCAAATAATAAATTTGTTTATTATACATACCATTATTTTCAACATCAATTTCAACTTTATGTTTGGACTTTGAATTTAACAAATGAGTTTACTGCATTCAAACACTTTTCTCGCACTGCTGTATGTAATGGAGTGTTCCCATCATCATCAGTAATATTAGGATTTATTCCTGCAAAATTAAATAAAACCAGTTGGTATTGGTATTTTGCCTTGAGGCAAGTTACATGCACTTCCCGATATGTGTAAATAATCGACTTAATCAATAAAAAATAAACTAATTTATGAGTGATTGTAAGTATTCCGAGTGAATTTATTACACATCATTGAAAGCGAGCGAACGAACACGTTAACCCTCGGAGTATTTTCTAAAAGCAAATTTTCAAAAATCAATAATTTTTTTTAATTAATCCAGTTTCCGTAAGACTTTAATGGTTTAATATGTTTATTAACACCAAGTACTGTATCGTTATACCAAGTCAAAAAACTACTCATTTGCTCAAATTTTTATGAATTTTTAAAATTAAACTACTTGCCGTAAGGCCGTAATATTTCAGTAAGTTCTATAAAACTATGATATAAATCGCCAAAAAAAGATAAATCGAAATCATAAAAATCAACTCAATTTTTTTTTTCACCTAAAACTAATTAAGTCGTTTCCCAAATAATATCTTTCAAACAGTTTTTAATTTTTTAAAATGTTTGTATGATCTTGAATGTGAACGAAAATTTTTACACTTTTTTCCAAATTACTCGGCAAATCGTCGCTCAAAACTGGCGAACGATAGTCCTCACTGAGATACATAAATGGCTTTTAAATTTCTGAAATCGGTTCAGGCGTTTTTGAGCAAATGTCGAAGAAAGGTCTAATTTTGACAAATGCCAAACAAACGATACTAATTTTTACAGACTTTGAAGAATTTTTAAAATTAAACGACTTGCGGGCCGCAATATTTCAATATGATCTATAAGACTATGGTAATTACCGTCAAAACAAATCATAAGAATCGTCGAAAAAAATATTTTTAACAATTCATTACAAGAAAACGGCCCGGCCGATCTTTACCAAAAACTAATCAGGTCGATTCCCAACCAATATCCTTCGAACGATTTTTGAATTTTCAAAATCTATTCAGAATTACGGGCTAAAACGTGGACAAAAATTTTTTCACTTTTCTGCTATTTGCCAAGAAATGGTTAAGCCGAATAATAAAAAATAAAAAATTCTCATTATTATCAAATTACGACTATTTTTAACAAGGTTTTTTTTTCTCAATTTGGTATTTAAAATATTATTGGCTAATCCTCTTTGTGTTAAAGTTTTAAAGGCCTATTATTTTAGTAGATCCGTGAATACAATAATTATTTTCAATTATATATAGTAAAAATATTTTTTAATAACCTGCTGCAAGAAGAGGTTTGATGTATGTATAATGTTTTTTCTCGATGGCCGCATGAAGTATAGATTTTCCAAAATGATTCTTAACATTAAGCAATTCACTTAAATTACAGTGAACAAGCAAATCTAACATATCTCGTGCTATGCTCATCTCATCCAGGTCCACAGCTCCATGCAAAACCCTGAAAAAAATGTTTTTATTAAATCATATTTCCAACAAAAAAAAATTACATAATCTAAGGTAATGATATTAAATAAAAGAGTATCACTTACGTATTCCCATTTTCTCCGGTCATGAATAATTTTGTAACAGCAGATTCATTATCTCTCTTAGTTTTTGAGTCATTGGCAGCTGTAGGATCCTTTACATTCTTCAAAAGCATTATTAGCTGATGTTTAATTTCAAAATCAATGAATGTTTGCAATTTAGTAGATCTGGAAATATGAAAAATAAACTATTAAGTACATAGATCGAGGGAAGTAGAAATTTACATCATAAAATTCGAGAAATGCAACAGAATATCAGAATTAATAACATTAGGTTATTTGATGTCATATTTAAGAAAAATTCAGCAAGCGGCAATCTAAACTTTCACTGGAGGCTTATCACAAATGACTCACAATTATTAGAAAAAGGTTTTATCATATAATGTGAAGTAATTTAAAAAATAGTTCAGTGGTTGTGCATAGGCTTTGCAAGTATTTTGTATCAAAAGTTGTTTGTGAAAGTTTTCTTAATTATTATTGTTAAAATATTCCAAAAATTAAAAAATGATGATATGTATACAGACTAGTGGTGCATGGCATCTTGCCTTAAGCCAAATTGCTGGAACTTCCCGTACCAAAAATTAATTTAAAAAAAAATTAAATTAATTAAATTTTTTTTATAAACTTTGAAAAAAATTAGATTTTTGAGAAATTTTAAATTAAAAAAAAAATGACTTGAACAAAATGTTTTTTATTTTGTAATATTTTGGAAGTTTTTAACTTTTTTTAAAAGAAATATGTTTTATCTGCATAGAGATAAAATATCGAAGCACGTAAGCGCCGCGTCGCCGTCTAACTCTATATAAAAATTTTCATTTTAGATTTTTTGCGGACACGATCTTGTGAATAAACATTCAAACAACCAAATAACAACAATTAAGTTTTGTAAAATCATTTAAAAACCAAAAAAATCGTTGTAAAAGTAAAATATATGAAAAACACAAATCGCTGGTCTGGCATTGAAAAATTTCATTAAATCATGCCTCTATGTGTTTTATAAAATTACCTTTCCTTTGCTATATTTATAGAACGTTCAATATCTGCATTATCATTATCATTGACTTTCTTTAATTTGAGATAATCCAAGAATTTCCCTTCCTTGCCTGTTTTAGATCCAGAATCATCATCATTTGGTGGCAACCAGCCTCCACGTAAATTATTAAGACTTCTGAAAAATTCTCTTTGAGATTCTACTGACTTGTCCTTCCTATTTAGTACTGGTTTTTCATTACCAGATTTCTTTGAAGTGTCTTCAAACTTCTTTGATTCAATATCAGCATTTGATGGTGAAGGGCGTCCACCTCGCAATTTCACAATTTTTTTTCCCTTTTGTGTATTTGGTTCAAGAATTTCAACCTTATCAGAACTTTGTTGTTCAATATAAACGTTTTGATTGGATAATTGTACCATATCAGCCATCTGAGCATGTACTGTAAAAACAATAAATTGAATTAAAATATAATATGTTATTGTTTATTAGCTCATTAACTAAGTCACGAGAAATATTACTAGACATTAAACAATTTTTATTTCCTTATGTATAACTTCTTAAAGTATTAACTCATTATTCAAAAAATGCAAGAACTATTCCCCGGGACTCAATTTTTATTGTTGTTGACTAGTGACTAGATAATTATAGATTGAGATTAGATTTCTGGCAAAATTCTGAACTTTGACGAATTTTATAACTGAACCGCTTATTTTAGTAAGCTGTATCAGACTACAAAATCTATTTGAACATTTGATTACTTCATCAAAACCTAATCAACGCGACTTCCCACCCAAATCTATCAAACAATTTTTGAATTTTTAAAATTGATTCAAGATTGGTGGTTAAAACGTGGATAATTTTTTTTAGGTTTTTGAAACAGGTCCAGATAAAATGTAGATGAAAGATCAAAATCGACTCACATACAAAATTATTACTAAACATCAAACAATTTTTAATTTTCTTATCCAATAATGTAAAGTATTAACTCATTATTCTAAAAATTCGCTGAACTATTCGCTAGACCTCAATTACACATATACTTTTTATTACAAAGTAGCCTCACTCGATTCAGAATAACTTGAAATTTCAATAAAACATATAATTAGCAAACAAACGCAAAATCAAACAAACTTCTCCGTCGTTAAAAATGTTGGAATCGTACTTACCAGTAGTTTTTCGTAAAAATCGGTCGAGTCGTTTCTTCGTAATTAGATGTTAAACTAGTTATTCACATTTCCATCAAATGGATTTTGAATTATTGAAATCAGTTCAGCCGTTTTTGAGAAAATATATATATATATATATATATATATATATATATTTAATTTCAATAAGTATTACAACTGTTAAATTAACATCAAGTAATATTGATACATAATAACATAAATTTAAGTAAATAAAAGTGCAAAGGATAAAATTTTACATGAAAATAATATCCTTAATATGATTTGATATAAAATAATTGGTCTCCTTATTGATAGATATCGAACATTTTTTGAATCATTCAAATCGGTTAAAGCGTGTTTCCAAAATCGTCGACGAAAATTTGTATCCGAACACACACACACACACCATACATCCACTTTTTCTAAAGTATGCCAAAATGTTCAGGAGCTTCTGAAACGTAAAGATATATATTCGATTTTTTGCGATTACTATAACTCACCCTATGAAAAATTATTTATTTAGCACTATCAAACATATATTGTAATAAAAACAAATAAAAAATATAATCAAACCTATTCTAACTTCAGAGGTAGAAACAGTTGGTTTGCTGCGCCCCATACAATCTGTGGTCAACGAACTTTCTGATTCGGATTCCCCTAAAAATAAAATAAATAATTATATTTTTTATTATTATTGAAATACAATTACTAAATTGTTTATAAGCAATTAGAAAAAAATAAATTATAATAATAAAGACAATCATAGATATTCTGTCATTGTAATCATAATCAGTCAATAAATAGTAGTTCTTTCAACATTTTATACAAAAAAAAAATCTTTGCTATCAAAATTAGGTATAAATTTATTATTAAAACTAATTGTAAGTAATAATTGCGTCCTCATCATATATAAAAAATTATTATCAAAATGAAGTAATAATTGCGTCCTAAAACCAATCGCCTTTCGGTAAATTAGCTTTTGATTTGATTTAAAAATATAATTACATGTATTAACTGATAAACTAAACAAAAACTTCAATTAACTGATTCAGTTAATTTTGATTCAATTCAGAAATCTAATCTGATTGGTTTAATGTCAATCAAGTAAAATATGATAAGAATTAGGTTAATGTGATTTTGATTCAAATTATTCCAATCATTTAATTCTGTAAATGAAATTGAAGTTCATTAAGTACAAAATGAAATAAAAATGTACAAATAGAAATAATACAAATAATAAAACTTACCCTGGGAGTCCAAACTTCTT